TTATTTACTAGTGATGGAAAGTTGGAGGAAGAGATCGACCGGCGATATGGAGTAGCCAGTGGCGTTCTGCGTGAACTGGCCCGACCCCTTGTGACTAAAGCAGAGCTCAGTCTGGAAACTAAGCTCTCAATATTCAAGTCGATCTTTATCCCCATATTTACCTACGGTCATGAATCGTGGACCATCAATGAAAAACTTCGAACCCGGGTCCAAGCCACTGAAATTGGATTTCCGAAACGAGTCGCTGATTCTTCAGATTGAGAAGTCAGTTCTGCGTCATTCTAGCAGGTGTTGCGAATGCCTCCAGAAAGGAAGGCTAAGCAACTGTTTCTTGCAAATCCGACTGGCTGAAGGACCAGGGGACAGTCAACATTAACCTGGTGCAAATATATGGAAGGATTCTCTTCAAGACTCCAGTTGTCTTCTGCCGAAGCTCTGACTCTGGTACAGGATCTGGAACGTTGGAAGCTCTGTCTGACGCGTCTGCCTCGGCGACTCGAAAGGAGATGCGGTCACGGAATATAGAAAAGAAGGTGATGGATCAGGTAAATCCTTGTTTATTCTTATGTGGGAAGGAACTTCTCATTCAACCTTGGGCATCTCAGAAACAGAGTGTGACTGGTTTGGAAGTAATGGTTCAACGTAAGAATTTTTAGCGCCAGTTTGGAATTACAGCGATCAATCAATAAACCAAATTAAGGTTATTACCAGCCGAGCTAAGTAAATAATTAATTAAGAATATCCTGCTAATCTACTGCGTTAGAGGTTACTTCAAAGTAGGACTAAAATCTTAGCTTTTATGAAGGAGCTATTCTTTAATGCGTTCGTGCATTGGCGGGGGAAAGCGTTTCGTCTGCTATTCAGATAGTTATACCGTCGTCGTGGTGATAACTAAAGAATTTTCTGGTTTCTCATAGCGCAAAATGTCAGTGTCTTCAATATCCGGAAGACCGGGGGGGCTGAATTGGTTGATGGTCCACCTATATAGGTTACGGTTGATGATTTTGTCTCATCATTGTTCCTCAGCCATACTCAGTTCCGTTCATTTCTCTGTGTCAAAAGCACATTACCTCTTCGGTCATTTGTTGAATTTATTGCTTGACGCTTTGCGGATTGTATTCTTTGAAGATTCCTCGTGAGTGCGGTCAAACGATTGCAATATCGATAATATCATACTTTTGCTCTCTTGCTGCAGGTGTCGAATTCTTCCTTATGGCGTGATTGTAGCGTGACCACTTCACTGTTTTAGTTTGCCATCAACCTTGGACAGCGTATAAGCACCAGAGTCTGCTTTGGATCCGCACGGCGTTGCTCGTACCGTACCGTTGCTTCTAAAGGCTTAAGAGATTTCTTGAGCAGGCCATTGCTCAATTGGCTCATAGCCCCAGCATTGTACAGGTGCTAAAAATAATCACAATATTAAATTGAACAAATACACGTTTCGAACACTGGCTGATATACGTCGATCTGTGGCAGAAGGATACGAGGAAGTACCATGATATTTTCGGTTTACTAGCAATAGACAGTTTTCGTTGTCATTACATTTGCGAGTGGCTTTTTCTGACTTGCACGGCGTAGTCGCACACCTCCTGTTGCCAGTGGCCTGGGGGATACTGTATGCAGATCACAGCCCCATGCCACTTTCGATTATGATTCAGAAGAATTATCCTCGGCTTCCTTGTGACGGCAAAAATTAGTTCGTCTGTTAGCTCTGCCGCTGATGATCGTTTCTAGAGTCCTGTAGTGATCAGAGGTGGCGTGATTTAGTGGAGGTTGGCAGTTCGTCATTTTCCTTGGACCTTCGTTGTCCCCAGTGGCGTGGCCTGTCGTCCGGTTCACGGAAGGCAACGATTCGAGCTGTCTAACCAATGGGTCGCGGTCGGGCCGGTCGTCCTGGTTAGAACTTGTTCACTCGTGCGAGGTGTAAGCCGAGTAACGAAGAATTAACACACCGAGATCACGTGCAAAACAATTTGCCACGGATCGGCGCTTCCGACTGCCGGCCTACAGTTCCTCTGCCGGGTGGGGTGGCATTGTCTCGTCGTTCTTGAAGTCAGCCCAGCACATGCTTTTGACCGTTCCGACCATTTCGGTGTTGTGCAGATTTGTACCCACAAGTTTAGCCGTCATCATTATCGAATAACGCCGTTCGAAATACGGATGTCATATCCTAGCGTTTGCTGAAGTGCACAGGAAACAGGAATGCTTCCAGGTTATAGCTAAGGATCTGGATGTATAAGGAGAAAGACAACAGAGCAGCATAGGCACATACAGTTGCGGCAGCGAACTTCGAAATCCTAGGAAGTGTTCATGTGTATGAGTGCCGATTTTAGTGATTTACATACTGCACTCGCTCAGAGTGGATCCGTCTCATCGGATAAAGTAGCTGATTATCAGGATCCACGAAGAGCATGCATTTCAAGGGGTGAGTCATGCACATCTTCTATGAGAAAAATCTAACTTGGTGAAGTTGCCCCCTTGGGATAATGTGTTCTAAGTGATACAAAATTTGTCTTATATTGGAGCGGGTTCAATATAAAATATATGTTCAATTACGCTGGTAACCAAACTCTTTTCCCAATGAGGTTAAACAACTTCTGGCGCGTTACACGCTGTACTCGCTCAGAGTGGTTCTGCCCCGTCAGGAGCAGCATCTAGTCATTAGCGTAAGTTTCACTCCATCGAACCCACTGACAGCACAAGCCACATACCCTGTTACTCTGTTATCTTGTTATCCAGAGGGGACAACTTCGCGTGACTCTACCCTTGGAATGTAGGCTCATCTTACTCTGGGTTCAGTAGTGATCGCGCTGTCCCTGATTTCTGACTAATCAATTTAAGCAGTAAAGTAAAACTGTCTATCAAACTGTCTGAACGTAAATTTTTACTTAAAATATTTTCGCACAACAAATTCCTGTTCTAATGGGGCCAGGTTTCGGCTGGGGTCTCCTTGTTTGAAAAAGAGTGCGAACTCCGGCCTCAACCTGGTCCCATCACAACAAGGAACTTGCTACGTATAAATTGTTCAGTTTAAAGTTTTCCATCGTTGTTCATGTCCTCACGATCTAGAACTTCATTGGACTGTTACGTAATAAATACTTAATGTAAAAGTCTCGACACTTCCCTTGATGAACACATAATACTCATCGGCAGTTAGTAATTCCTCGTCTACGTATCCCATAGACAAAGATTTTACTTTCTTGCTTTGATGCTGCGATCCTCGTATTGGTCAAAAGTCGAAGGGACTCATTTTACCTTGTAGAACAACTCATTTTACGGTGATTGTGCACCAGAACCAGAACTTCGTCAAAGTTCATTGTGAAAGTATTTCGAGCTGGAACGATCGATGCAGTTATAAGGCAGAATTTTCAGTTCGATGAACCTGAAAGAAGGTTACGCTTGAAGGTGGATGATCGGTCGACCAGGCACTTCTTGTCT